TATATATATATATATAAAATGTATTGATAATTAATAATATTCATATTTCAGTCTCCCAAAAAAGTAGGAGATGATATTGCCAAGGCTACCAGTGATTGGAAAGGTTTGAAAATCACCGTTCAGCTGACTATTCAGAATAGACAAGCTACAATCTCAGTTGTGCCATCTGCTGCTTCCTTGATAATTAAAGCTCTGAAAGAGCCACCCAGAGATCGTAAAAGGCAAAAAAATATCAAACATAGTGGTAATCTAACGTTTGATGATATTGTTTCCATTGCACGTGCTATGAGATCAAGATCAATGTCACGAACACTCGGTGGTACCGTTAAAGAAATCTTGGGTACATGCCAGTCAGTGGGATGTACTGTGGAAGGCAGATCACCTCATGACCTTATAGATGACATTAATGCCGGAGAATTGGAAGTCCCGGAAGAATAATTGTTGGTAGGTATTGAGCTCATAGTTCACTCTTTTTATTGTTGACAACAAAATTTTGACGCGTGCGCGTTTTGGCTATGCAATTATTTATACATGTCACATGTTCTTGGACATGTGTTGATAATGAATACAGTCAATTCTTTCATACAGTTCATTTATTAAGTGGAGAAATGGTGTTTTGACTGAGAAATTCATCTGATAAAGAACAATGTACAGTGATATATTTTCTAATAGTCATTCTAATAGTCGAAGACATATCAGTCAGTATTCATTGTAGAATAGTTGCCATGTATAGTGAAGATACGTCGTAGAAAAAGAAATGAATGTCAATTTGCATAGTTTTCTATCTTCAACAGATAGAAAACATCACTACATGTTCCGAAAATGTATCGCTGCATGTTATTTTTTACTAGATGAATTTTCCAATCAAAATACTTCCTTTACTTAACGAATGAACTAGACTGATAAAAAAACGAATCACTGCTAATATTCATTGCCTCTAAAGTCCAAGCGCGCGCGCGCGTGTGTGTGTGTGTGTGTGTGTATATGTAATGTACACATATGTCATTATAATATTGTCATTATAGTATTTTATTGTCATTTAATTATATTCGATTTATTATGAATACAATCTTGAAATTATTTATTAACTTTAGTTTTAAGTAATATATATAATAGTCACAAGAAAAGTGTTAACTTTGAGCTCTTGGTAGGGGTTGGCATCCCATCCACCTGTTTAACACTGACTACATCTAATGATGTTGGGTGCTAGCAGGCATTTAGCCATTGAGGAAGACAACCTCAATAAAAAATATTCTATTAGTTTTTTTTTTCAACGATAGAAAAATATAATTTTACTAAGTATCTTGTATCTTATGTTTTTACAGATTTTGTAAGGTGCCGACAAATAAAAATATTTAAAACGGAGTTAAATGTGTTGTAATTTTTTATTTAATTAATTATACGTTTATTATTTTATCTAATTTTATAAGTACACATGATATGTGTGTGTGTGTGTGTGTGTGTGTGTGTGTGTGTGTGTGTGTGTGTGTATTATATAAACAATTATTAAATTGAGCATCGAAATTCTGCTTTAAAATAAATGTGATTTACAAATTA